CAGGCACTGTGGAGACACAGACAGGGCAGAGGCTGGAGGAAGGGGCTGGCAGCCGGTATGGGGATAGGGACGCAGGGGATGGGTGTAATGGGGGATGTCATAGATTCGGTCACACCACGGAGGGTTGAGGGGACACAGGGCAGAGGTGGGGGCACCCAAGAAAGGTGTCTAAAGGACATGGAGGTACCCAGGCAGGGGATCCGAGGAGGCTGTGGGGGCTCCCCGTACCCATCCCTGCACTCACTGCACACCATGGCACGGAGCCGGGCGCTGCTCTTCCCCACGGCCCACCCTCAGAGTGCACCTCGCAGCTGTAATTCCCTGAGTGGAAGACCTCCAAGGCGGGCAACAGCAGCTGTGGGGACCCCTGTGGGCCCCCCCACCACCCACTCGTCCCGGTAGAACACATGCAGGAGGGGGTCTCGGGGCTGCAGGTGTCTGGGGGTGCTGAGGCAGCTGAGAGTCAGGGGGGACCCCTCGGTGGGCTTGGGGGGACCCTCCAGCACTGGCACCTGGATGAGCTCAGGGCAAAAGATGGAGGACTGTGGGCACAGTGACCCCGAGTCCCTGGGGAAGGGCTGTGGGGGTGTCAGGGTGGCAGCTGTGAGGTGCTCACCGTTCACTGTCACTGTCACCGGCGCTGACTTCTCCCATCCCGGTGATACCCCGTTGTCCACCCAGGCCCTGCAGTGGTAGCGGCCACTGTGGGTCAGCTGCAGAGGGGTCAGGGACAACTGGGTCCCATTGCGGAGCAGCCCCAGTTCTGTGTCCTCACGGTAGATGAACACCGAATGGACCAACATGTCCTGCCTGTATCGGCAGCGCAGTGTCACCGTTTCCCCCTCCAGCAGTGCCCGTGCCGGCGCAGAGGGGTCAGGGACAACTGGGTCCCACTGCGGAGCGGCCCCAGTTCTGTGTCCTCACGGTAGATGAACACCGAATGGACCGACATGTCCTGCCTGTATCGGCAGCGCAGTGTCACCGTTTCCCCCTCCAGCAGTGCCCGTGCCGGCA